TCGATGATGCAATCTTCAATCAACTAGAGTTGGATCTAGTTTCCTTCGATTCAAGAACGAGTCCACGAACCTAAATCTAAGGTTGAAGAAAGGAAGATTGATTCAAGTCCACGAATCAATTTGCTAGTCGAGTCCACGACTAGCCACTAATTGAGTCCACAATTAGCTATAAGGTTTCTTACACAAGTGTAAAGAAAAAATTAAGAATTTTATTGAATTAAAGCCTTGTCGAAACTGATATGGATGTGCCCTATTTATAGGTATAGGGCAGCATTATAATCCTAAATACAACGAGAAAAGGAGTCTAAAACCTTATCTAGAAAACAAGTAAATAGAGTCCTATTTAGAAAGGGATTTAAGGAATTCTTTTCTAAATACAAAAAGAGTCATAAACCTAATCTAGAAAGCAAGTAAATATAGTTTTATTTAGAAATAGATTTAAGGAATCCTTTCTAAATACAAACTAGTGTTTTTCTCTTTAATTCCAAACAATTTAAAATAATGATGACCACAAATAATAAAGCTGATTTGGGCCTTGGATCTTCATTATGTTGGGCCGCATCATCCTCCCCTTCTCGAAATATGATTCGACCTCGAATCTTCTAAATATTGTCTTCGATCTGTGACATCACTTGAAACGGGCCACTTATAGTACTTTCCTCTATCGAATGGAATTTTTATTGGACTTTCTTGTTTCTTCCACCATTGATGCTTTAAGGATGTAGTTATGGGCCTTGTGATGAGCTCACTATTTACCCTTACTGGATTCCATGTGTACTAGTTCCTATTATTCTCCCATTCTTGAAAAGGATTCGTCCTTGAACCAAATCTTTAATGAAAGACAAAGTAGCAAGCTCCCTTTCTGTTTTATCACGCTCATGGAACTTTTTCTTGGGATGCTTGACACGAGTCGCTCCAATCATCATCCTACAATCAACAAGTAAGGCAACTAAGTCTAATAACAAATCATGGAATTTAAACATTCTGGATGGTAATAATTCAACAAAATGAGACATATTAAATTTAGGCATCTTATTAACAAGTACAAAATCTTTCTTTCTAGAGCTTAAGGTAAAATCAAACAGAAAATTCTTGGAAATATCAAGTAATGATTTAGATGTATTATGGTGGTAAGTAGCACAATTCTGAACATAAGATTCTACATCTTTTTTCTTCTTTGGCCAATGAAAATATCCATGCAAAACATCATCACTCTTTGGAAAATCAAAATGTCCCTTATGTGAATCAACAATTAAATCATTGCCCAACACCAACACAAAGCAAAAAGTGCCAATCCCATTGACTTTGAACCAAAACCCCTTGTGCAAGTAGTATTTTCCATAAGAAGTTTTCAAATGTGCCTTATAACTTCCAAGTGATTCCTTATCTCTATCAAATAAAGTTTTAGTAAAATCAAAATTAAGGAATCTTGGATGTATGGAGGCAAACAAATTTCTAACACATCTAGCAAGTAGGTCATTAATAGAAACATGGCAAACAAATCTAGAGAATTTTAATGCATGCTTTTGAAATAAGAGTGAGTAAATAGTTACTCCCTTTCTTTTCTCTTGCTTATTATCCTTTTTTGTTAGCAAGCGAGGCTGCACTTTGATAGCTCTGGCTGGGTCTTTCCACTGTACCACTGATAGCAGTTCCTTTGTTTGGCTACAATCTAAGTTAGAGGACTGGAGTGGTGAGTACAATTCTAAACGTGGAGGTTCCAGTTTGCTCTCTTTGATTTCTTCTTTCTTCAAGGCTGGCTTGAGAGCTTGCTTCGATCTCAGTTGAATTTCTTCTACTTGTTTTGGAAGTAGAGGCTTAAGCACATGTATAAATCTATTATAGGTGACATTGCATGTGTTGTTGAGTGCATTATAATAAAAATGTCTATCATGTTGCCATGATCTTCCGAGTGAAACATGTGCAGTACACATTGGCACAATATCACATAGAACCTCATCATAATACTTGCCAATACAAAAAGGAATAAAAACTTGTTTAGTCAATCTCACATGCCCTGAATCAATAAGATTGAAAGGTTGGGGGTGATTGATAAGAGGTAACTTAAGGTAGTCCACCATGGTTGCACTAGCTAAATTCATACAACGATCCAAATTGATAACGATAATGCATCTCTTTCCAAGAATGTTTCCCCAAGTATAGAGTGGCAGTTGCACTCGCTTAGGGTGTTGCTCTAGATTAGTCATTCCAGTGCTTAAACCTTCCATGGCAAAGGCTAGAGCATCTATTTTCTGCTCTAATCTCTTACGTGTGTTTGGAACCTCTTCAGCCATCTGTAGATGAGAAACAAAATCTAAAAACAAGAAGATATGTGAGTACTCATGTTAGTGAAACCAAAAAGTTGGCTCGCTCCCTCTCCATTCTCAGCTCACAGGTAAGAGGTGGATTATATGGCTCTGGGGGTACACTACACTCTTACAAACACACACTCCACTCATGTATCACTCCAAGTGGCAGATACTCTCACAAGCCTTTTTCCAAAAAGGAAAATTCTAGTCCGGAACTCAAGTTGATATGGATTCAACCTCAAAGTTCAAGAAAACATACCTTGGAAAACTTAACAAGCCTTTGAGAGTAAGGGTGTATCACGAGATAGGTAATATAATTGAGAGCAAGAAGCAAAGAAAAAGGACAATATGAGCAAAGAAACTAAATAAGATTTGGAAGAAAAAGGAAACCAAAGAAGGAAGTATGGCAGAAAGATATGCAAGACCAATATCAACAGATAGAGACAAATAGAATGTAAGAGGGGTTCAAGTATACCACAACCAAATATGAATCTATCAAGAACTCCTTCCAACCTTATACTTTTCCCCTTCCTTTTCCCTCCAAGATTCTCCTACCAACCTAATTCTTTCCCCAACCTTCTTCTTCTTCTTCTTCTTCTTCTTCTTCTTCTTCTTCTTCTTCTTCTTCTTCTTCTTCTTAAGGTCGTGTTTTGTAAAAATATTTGGTGACCTTTTCAGAAATGGCTCAATGGAAGTCTTCTACCTGCGATGGAATGTACATATCTCAAATTTGGTGCAAATCGTAATTCGTTTGATACCATATTTTTTACTAGAACACTTAAAGTCGTGTATTATAAAAATATTGGGAGACCTTTTCTAAAATGGCTCGAAACTTGTGGAAGTCTTCTACCGGGGTTGAAATATCCTTTGCTCTAATTTGGTGCCAATCGGAGTTCGTTTGATACCATATTTTAGACCAGAAGAACCAGAAAACTTAAAGTCGTGTTTTGTAAAAATATTGGGTGACCCCAATTGGTTCAAAACTTGTGAAAGTCTTTTACTAGGGTTGAAATGTCCATAGCTCAAATTTGGTGCCAAACGGAGGTCGTTTGATACCATTTTCTAGACTGATCGACCTAGAAAACTTAAAGTCATGTTTTGTAAAACTATTTGGTGACCTTTTCAGAAAAGGCTCAAAACTTGTGAAAGTCATCTACTAGGGTTGGAATGTCTATAGCTCAAATTTCGTGCCAATCGGAGTTCGTTTGATACCATATTTTAGACTTGTCGACCCAGAAAACTTATAGTCGTCTTTTTTAAAAATATTTGGTGACCTTTTCAGAAATGGCTCAAAAATATGGAAGTCTACTAGCAGGGTTGGAATGTACATATCTCAAATTTGGTGCCAATAAGAGTTCGTTTGATACCATATTCTAGACCCGTCAACCCAGAAAATTTAAAGTCGTGTTTTGTAAAAATATTTGGTAACCTTTTTAGAATTGGCTCAAAACTTGTGAAAGTCTTCTACCAAGGATGGAATGTACATATCTCAAATTAGGTGCCAATCGCAGTTCGTTTGATACCATATTTTAGACCAGTCAACCCAGAAAATTTAATGTCGTGTTTTGTAAAAATATTTGGTGACCTTTTCATAAATGGGTCAAAACTTGAGAAAGTCTTCTATCAGAGTTGGAATGTCCATAGCTCAAATTTGGTGACAATTGGAGTTCCTTTGATACCACATTTTAAGACTAGAAGACCCAGAAAACTTGAAGACGTGTTTTATAAAAATATTGGATGACGTTTTCAGAATTGGTTCAAAACTTGTAAAAGTCTTCTACCAGGTTCGAAATGTCCATAACTCAAATTTGGTGTCAATCGAAGTTCGTTTGATACCATATTTTATACTGGTCGACCTAGAAAACTTAAAGTCGTGTTTTTTAAAAATAGTTGGTGACCTTTTTGGAAGTGACTCAAATCTTCTGGAAGTCTTCTACTAGGTCTGGAAACCCAAATTTGGTGCCAACCAGAGTTCGTTTGATACCATATTTTAGACCGGTTAACCCAAGAAAATTTAAAGTCATGTTTTGTAAAAATATTTGGTGACCTTTTTAGAGATGGCTCAAAACTTGTGGAAGTCTTCTACCAGGGATGGAATGCACATATCTCAAATTAGGTGCCAATCACAGTTCGTTTAATACCATATTTTAGACTGGTTGACCCAGAAACTTAAAGTCGTGTTTTGTAAAAATATTTAGTGACCTTTTTCGAAATGGCTCAAAACTTGGTGACCTATAAAAAATGAACATTTAATATATTAATGACTTTTTATGACGAAGGAAATAATCACTATTCAAAAGTGTATACTAAATAAACTTTACCCTTTTATAATTGTCAACAAATCATACGAAAAAGGCAAATCGCACAACATAGACTCATGCATGCGATAGGCTCAACCAAGATAATGTTGACAAGAATCATACTTAATTAATTATGACATTCAAGTAGTGAAATAGGAGAATTAACAAGTGAGAGAATATTGACAATAATCATATATAGTCATATTAACATAACTTATTATAATATATAATTTACAATATTCTAATTACATTTTTTTAGAGTTGAGTTAATATTTTTTTTCTTTGTAATTTAAGAGTGTAATTACCTTTTTCTTTTTAAATAATAATTCAAGGGTTTATTTGATTAGTTTTCTAATTATTTATTGGTAACTTTTATAACACCTGAAAATTTTCTCTAAAAAATCTTTATTTTGAACTAGAATATGATAACATTTTTCAATATTTTATATTGATCACAACCTAGAACGAGTCTCGAGATCGCTTCCAAGCGAAACCGATACATTAGAATAAACAGTCCTCCTACAATGAGCATAAACGTGGCCGTCCCACCCACGCGCCACCAGCTTCTCCCCGAGCTCCACCGCAGCCTTCACCGTCTCCTCCGGGCTACCATGCGCCGAGTCCACAACACCGACCTCCATGCCCATATTCGCCGTCAGCTTCGCCGCTTTGAGGACCACCTCCCTCCAGGCACGGGGAGACGCCGCCTTGCTCTTCAGCAGCGCCACGAACCACGCCGGAATCTCCATCCCTTTGTCAAGCTCGCTCATGTAGAGGAAGCCGCGGTCCTTGCGCATGAGCACGTAGTCGTGGCTCAGCGCTATAACGAAGCCGGCGGCGGAGGCGTGGCCGTTGACGGCGGCGATCGTCGGCATCGGCAGGTTGAGGAGGTCGGAGACGAGGGATCGGAGCTTGGAGTCCATCGACTCCAGCCGGGCTGTGTCGGAGGAAGCCCAGGCGAGGTCGTAGCCGTTGGAGAAGAACTTCCCGTGGCTGGTTGTGATCAAGACGGAGGGCCCAGCAGCCGCCTCCGCTCGTGCACGGCGGACGGCGGCTCTGATGGAGTCGATCAGCGTCGGATTTAGCCTGTGCTCGTCGTCGCCGGTGAGAGTCAGTAAAAAGACGTTGCCTCGTTTCTCCAAACTGCACGTCTCCATCTCTCTCTATTAGTATTGACCGATAAAGCTTTGTACTATATATTGGACTATTCTCATTGATATAGCCGAATACTAGAAATAAAATACTCAGTATATTATATTTTATAGAGTTAATACCCAAAATCATCCTCGACTATAGTGGTTTTTCTCAATTTCGTCCTAAACGACTTTGGTGACCTAATATCGTCCCAGACTTTTGTGTTTCGCTCAATTTAGTCCTCCATTTGTTATTCCGTCAAATTGGTGTTAAATAAAGGGACAATTCAGTAATGTCAATATTGATCTCTCTTTACTTTCAACTTGTGAAGTGCGAAATTCATCTTTCTTGTACGAATTACACCCAGAATTACCCCCGGACATGCAAATCAAATTTTATATTCGCAGTTTTAGGAGTAATTCTGGGAGTAATTCGTAAAAAAAAAAAAAAATTCGCAGTTCACATGTCTATGAGTAAAGAGATGCCAATATTAAAATTACGGAATTGTCTATTTATTTAACACCAAATGGACAGAATAACAAATGAGGGACTAAATTGAGCAAAAATACAAAAGTCTGGGACTAAATTGAGCGAAATACAAAAGTCTGGGACGATATTAGGTCACCAAAGTCGTTTAGGACGAAATTGAGAAAAACCACTATAGTCGAGGACGATTTTGGGTATTAACTCATATTTTATAAAAAGTAATCGAACAATACTTAAAAGTACAATGAACTAATTAGGTTATCAAGTTCAAATAAAAAAACTGCAATGAGTTCGAACAAATTAAAATCGTATGTACAGTTCAAATACCAGCGTGACGATCGCCGGTCGCCTTCTCCGACAGAACGCCACCGGCAACGGTCAATAGTCACCGGTATTTGCGACCGGCAACGGTCAACGGTATTTGACCTTTCGTTTGAATTTAGTCGGATGTTTGTGGGAGGTTTGCCGGAGTTGGCTAAAATCTTAATTGGCCTGCAATTACAGGTCACCAACAAGTTAGTGGGTTCCATTGGTTTAAAATAACATGTTTGTAAATTTAATTGGTAACTTCTAACTAATTGACTTTTTGAATAAAATTTAAGGACTTATTTGACCATTTTCTCTTACAAATGAAATGATTAAAAGTGAGAGTGCACGTCAAAGCTGGTTAACTCTCTCCATACAAATTGCACCATTCAAAGTAGTTGAATTCAAAATCTTGCTTCTATTTAATTCGAAAGTACTTGATAAAATCATACAATAATAAGATGCAATTATTATAATATGTTACCCACTTATTCTAATGGAACACAAACACTTATCCTAATAAGCAGATTAATATACAGATTAATATATTGTCAATTATTCATTGACAAGTGATAATGTTCATAATATATAGTCTATATTCAAAGCCGGCTAGCACCGACTAGCAGCCCCATTTGACATTGTCAAATGAACGCTATAGTAAAACACTATATTTGAACCTCACCAAAAAAAAAAAAAAAAAAAAAAAAAAACACTATATTTGAAACAGAACCTGGCAATTATGGTAAACACTTTTAGATAGTGGTTGCCAGTTACCCTCAGTTATATTCGAGAAGCAATCTCAACGGTCTCGCCTTTGGCAGTGTCATCGTTTTGGAGCAAGTGCAATACCTCGGCAAACATGGTTGTCCTCATCTCGGCATATATCTTTCCATTCCAGTTTCTGCTCACCAGTTCTAACCCCAGTTGTTCAGCTGCTTTAAAGGTCTCCTCTGCGCTGTTGTAGACCGAGTGAACGACGCCTTTCTGGAGCGCCATGTCGCCTGTCAGCATAGTGGCTCTCAGGGCAATGTCGAGCTGAGCTGAGGGGGATGCAATCTTGTGTTTCATGAGGGCGAAGAACCAGGCTGGCAGCTTGCGCCCAATATCGAGCTCGTTCATGCAAAGGAACCCTCTGTCACGGCGCATTAGAATATAGTCATGGCAGAGTGCAAGTCCAAAGCCACCGCCACAGGCATGGCCAGTGAGGGCAGCGATGGTGGGCATGGGCAGAGCGAAGAAGTCAGCCACAAGCCGTTGGACCAGGGAGCACATGATCTTTGAGCGGTGAGCAGTGTCCTGTAAGAGCCAATTAAGGTTGTAGCCATTGCAGAAGAACTTCCCTTGTGCTGTGGTTATCAAAACCGACGGGCCTGTGGCTTCTGCTCTGGCCTGGCGGAGAGCAGCCCTGATGGAGTTGATGAGGTCCGGGTGTAACCGGTGCTCATCATTGCCAGTTAGTGTCAAGACAAAGATGTTACCTCGCTTTTCCAGTGTGCACATCTCTGTGAGAAGAACGAAGAAAACTAGCCAGCACGGGCTTAGCTCAATGGTTCAGTATGCAGTATTTGGGAGAAGAGCGAAGAAAACTGAAAGCTGGTATGGGATTTAGTCTCTTTGTGTCTTTTGGCCTGCAGGGCTGCCTGTAAGTTGAGAAGTTGTAGTAAGCCTTTATAGACAGCAAGAGCATGGAGCAACTGAGCAAGTACATCTACAAAAAAACAGAAGAAAAAATGGCCGGCTGTAAGAGTAAGTAAAAGCAGAAAAGATCAGTCCAAAACAACATATACTAAGATTCTAAGAATCCTGGTGTCAAGGTATCAAAAGATCAAAAGAACATTAATATTTTCACAATAGTAGCCATAGTATACTCATTTCAGTACAACAAATACACAATCCAAAACACATCATGCTTGAAATAAAATTTACACCAATGACCAGACAATCAAAATATGTAATCTTCACAGCAGACAAGAACTTTGTCATTTACAATATAATCACCCTTGTTCTTTCTACCCTTACTGCCAATACTATCATTTTCATTGATCCCAATGCTGAGATTGGAATGTATGCATGACAATGAATAATCTTGCACTTTCTCTTTGTTTAACTGTTGCCTCGCAAAGATGCATAACTTTTAAGTAAAATAAAACATCATATCAACTTCCATCTTGTGACTTCATCTGTCATTAGGTGATAGTGTGATACTGACAAGATGCCAACAGTTTCCAAGCATATACAAATGTTCTGAATCATTCATCTTAGCATGTATATCATAACTAACCACGTCAAGAAGGGTGATTGTCATACCCAAAAAAATACCAACAAATTTAACAAAAGAACAGAGCAACCTTGTGCAAAATTTTCGCAGAATTTTGATGAGGTATGATGATTCAAGAATTTGTGTTTTTTTTTCCAAATTGATAATATTAGCAGAGGCCATCCCTTCACATATTTTACTTAACTTAGACAACATTACCATTTTGTATCCTCATCGAATATTATGGTATAGCTTATCTGTTCACAGGCTTCCTTTGTGTGCTTTATTTTTTGTGTGTGCTTTAATTATATAGCATATTAGTAATATATGAACTGCAGATCCAGATAAACATAGAAGAAAACCATTGCCAATCATCAATTTGATGTAATCCCTTGCTTGATAAGTTTGAAATATCAAGAATTTAGGGGCAACCCTGCAAAATTGGTTAGGTTGTTGACTCGGTAACCACAAGGTTATACACGATCGACAACATAGGTTGGTTTACCTCCTTGTGGTCCTTTGACGGTTAGAGTCACAAGGCTAGTACGGCCCTCAAATATTGGCTGCGGCTTTCCCTCGTCACTCAAAAACAACATCAAGATGATGCGGCCCAACATAATGAAGATCCATTAAGAGTACCAATTGAGCCAATCACAAAGCCCAAGTCCAAACAATTGAGGCAACTCTTCATTGGTGATGTTCAAAGATGGTGGAAATTCAAGTCAAACCCATTTACAAAATATGAAGAAAGATGGTGGAAATTCAAGTCAAACTCATTTACAAAATATGAAGAAGAACTCAAAGCTTTTTATAATTGTTTCAAGTGTTGAGTTTGGAGATTAAATTAGACCCGAATCAGCCTTATTATTTTTTGCCATCATTATTTTAAATTGTTTGGAATTAAAAAGAAAACACTAGTTTGTATTTAGAAATGATTTCTTAAATCCCTTTCTAAATACGACTATATTTACTTGCATTCTAGATTAGGTTTATGACTTTTTTTCCCATTGTATTTAGGATTACAATGCTGCCATATACCTATAAATAGGGCACATCCATATCAGTTTTCTGGAGGCTTTAATTCAATAAAATTCTTAAGTTTTTCTTTACACTTGTGTAAGAAACCTTATGGCTAATTGAGTCCATTGTGGACTCAATTAGTGACTAGTCGTGGACTCGACTAGCAAATTGATTCGTGAACTCGAATCAATCTTCCTTTCTTCAACCTTAGATTTAAGTTCGTGGACTCGTTCTTGAATCGAAGAAACTAGATCCGACTCTAGTTGATTAAAGATTGCATCATCAAGGTACTTGAAGCTACCATGAGATTCTTCAAAGTCTTTGCGGATTCGGAACTAAGAGTTTTTTCGTGAGGTCAAAGATATTTTGATCCATCTCTATCTTTACTTTTGATAATATTATTGAAACAATATTCCATCTTATTTGAACCTTCATATCAATTTTATACAAAGGAAGTGCAGAAAGTAGTAAGTTTTTCGTTGCAAGAACATTGACCATCATCATCCTAAGCATGATTTCTATGTGTAAAAGCTTTTACTTCCAGAACCTCCAGCTAGAATAATCTTCATCCCGACCTGTACCCATAGATAATTTCATGTTGAATACCTTACAATTTCACACAATAGACAATAGAAAGAAAACCAAAATCCACATATAAAGGGAAAATGACACTTTTTACCCCTGAGTTATATACTTATAGCACTTTTTCCCCCTCAATTATTTAGGTAAGCACATTAATCCCCTCAATTATGCTAAAAGTGGTGCTTTTTCCCCCTAATATATTAAATTGACATTTATACCCTTAAAGTAAACATTTTATTTATTTTATTACTCCAACAAATTATTGCGTATACGTAGGGATGACCACGGTTCGGTTTGAATTGAACCGGATACTAAAGCAATCGAATTAATAGTTTACGGTTATAATTCATATCTAGAACCCAATATTTAAATGTCAATTTATTAAAATTATGTATCAAAAAAATTGAATCTTGAACCGTGAACCGGCGGTTCCAGATCTGATTCGCGATTTTGAACCGTCTTTATTTTAAAATTTTATTTTTTATTTTAAAATAGTCTAAATTCAACAATAAATGTATTTTATTTTTTCAGTTCGGAACATGAACCGTCCGTTCCGGTTCACGATTTTAATAAACTCTAAATATCGAATTTCGATTCTAAATTGTAATTGGAATATTTCGGTTTGGTTGCTATAGTGTTTGTTTAGTTTGAACCAAATTATGGTAATAATTTGTTGGAGAAAAAAAATAAATTAAATATTTAGTTTAAGGGTAAATATGTCCATTTAACATTTTAGGGGGAAAAACAGCCACTTCAATAATTCAGGGAGAAAAAATGCTATAGGTATATAACTCAGGGGGAAAAAGTGCAATTTTCCCACATATAAATGCATAATCAGTACACACTTTTTGAAATATGTGAGATAGAAATGCAACAATTTATTCCATAATCACTATACTGCTAAGCTCATCACATTATTAAATCACTTGAACTGAGAATGAAGAACTAACTCACATACAGTCACAGTCGGGAGACGGTCTTCTTGGCGTCCTTTTTGCCGAAGTCTCCGACGGTCTCATCGGATTCGAGCGACTCCAATACTTGGGCAAACATGGTTGTCCTTATACCAGAATACGTATTTCCATCCCAATTTCTTCTCACCAATTCTTCCCCCAATTTTTCAGCTGCTTTCAGAGTCTCATCTGCGTTATTGTGCACCGAATCGACAATGCCTTTCTGCAGCGCCATGTCTCCGGTCAGCTTCGCCGCTGTCAGAGCCACTTCTCGGAGAGCCGCCGGCGAGCCAATTTTACATTTCATGAGCGCAATAAACCAGGCGGGAAGCCTGAGCCGAATATCGAGCTCGCTCAGGTAGAGAAACCCTCGGTCCCGGCGCATGAGAATATAGTCGTGGCAGAGTGCGAGCACGAAGCCGGCGGCGGATGCGTGGCCAGTGACGGCTGCGATGGTGGGCATGGGGAGGTTGATTAGCTCCTCAACGAGGAGGCGGAGCTTAGAGGACATAATCTTGCCGCGGCGCTCTATGTCCTGCTTCGACCATTCCAGATCGTAGCCGTTGGAGAAGAACTTCCCTTGCGCCGTAGTGATCAGAGCAGAGGGGCCCGTGGCTTCGGAGCGGGCGCGGCGGACGGCGGCTGTGATGGAATCGATGAGTGTCGGGTGTAAGCGGTGCTCGCCTTCGCCTGTTAGGGTGAGGATGAAGATGTTTCCTCGCTTCTCCAATGTGCACATCGTTTTCCGTTCGCCGACTCGCCGGAGAAGACAGGAAAAAATAGTAAAAAGAATCACAAATTTAATAATGTGAAATTTTTGAAAATAAGAGATTATCATAGGGATAACCGGATAAGGACAACCTAATAGCCATAGGCTATCAAGGGTGGGAATGTGGGATAATGCCAAATTTTTTCTAAATAAGTGTTTTAAAGTATATCGAGGTAAGATTATTATATTAGAATTGTCGATAATTGAATGTTGAATTTGCGTATTTAAATTGGTAATTTTAAATTTACAAAGGAAAGATAATATAGTCAATATTGATTATAATTATCAATAAAATAATTGTATGGGTATGCTTGAAATCAAATACGGGACATAAGGGAGAGCAAATAAAAATTAAAGCATAAAATATTAAATATATACTAATATTGTTTGAGGAGATTCTTACACTAGGATTTGTGGTTAGAGTTCTATTTTTTTATTATAGAATACAATATCAGATTTGGACTCAATTACCTCAGTTATTGAGATCTTCTACTCTTCTATTGCTATGAATAAAAATAATAGGCCCGCATGGGTAGCTCAACTGGTCATAGAGGTGAAACTTTGGAATAATGACTCGGGATCGCAACCTCTTAAAGTGAGGGGTGCTTCTTGGGGCGCAGTGAGCACCGGTCTAGCCTCTATGGTTCATGTTCAGTTGAGTCACCATGATTTACATCCTCTCAAATGCTCTGTCAGGCCGGGGTGTGGGGGGCCCTTAGGGTTGGGGTTCAACCTTTTGGAATAATGAATAAAAATAATAATGTTGAGAATGTTGATGTGGGAAAAGAACTACAAAATAAGAAAATTTTATGATATATTATAAATGTTTTGTCAGAAAATTATAAATGATAATAATCAACATCATTGAAAGTTTGTAATGATGTATTCAATTTAGAATTATATTTCAATGACTTTTGTAGACTTTTTAAAATAAAAAGTTGATAAAAGTCTATGAATGTTTTTGTATAGATTTTTATAGAGTCTTATAAAGTTTTAAAAAGTTTTGAACGACTCTATGAAAGTCAATCAAAGTTTATTAAAATCTATCATTTTAAAAGTCTTTAAAACTCTACAAAAGTCATTATTGAATACACCCCCTTAGACTTTAACATTTAGCATTAGACTTATGATATCCCATACTGAGAACGTCTGAGAACGTCTCCCGTTCTCAGCTGGTATGCCCATCCGCCAAATATTATTTGAGAACGTCTCTCGTTATTAGATTTATGATATCCCATACTCCTTTTAACCACTTTTTGTTGATCATGCTTTATACACTGATGACTCCTAGACTCTACACTAAACTTTATACTCACTAGACTTCTCTCCTATAACCCCTAGGCCCTACACTAGACCCCTTACCCCTAACACCCTGTCATCTATTAGACTTTCCTTTACCTGATATTGTCAGGTTCATCCTTCTAATGGTCATCTTTGCTTGTTTTACCATAATTTGATTACTGCTTCGAGATCTGGTTGTGAACTGTCCATCGAGGGGTGAGAAGACGAGTTGACAACTAAGAGGTGTGAAGTTCCATCAACCACCATGTGGTGGGAAGATAGGTCGACCACTGAGTGTTGGGATGACCAACCTAGATGACTAGTCCGCCTAGATGATCGGTCGGGGTGACCAGTTTGGGTGACTAGTTGGGGCGACCAATCCACCTCTACAGTCTTAACTGCCAAAATTCTGAGGACATTCGAGGAGCTAACTAAGCATGATACTCTTTTAAATTGAAGTGATGTCTTTATTACGATACTATAATAGTCTATTGTACATAGTAACTAACTGCACGAGATTATTTTCCAACAATTGATAGAGCTTCTTGAGCTACCTTGAATGTGTCTTCTCAATTTTTTTTTTCCATTGGAAGGGCCGGTCGAACCTCATGCACTGGTTTGGGTCCGAAGGCGGGGACTGCTCTGTGTCGAGGGGGGTAGCCCTCAGTCGATGTTGGGTCTGTCTTCCCATTTGGACGATCAGTCCGTTGGACGCGTTGTTGCCTCATCGCGGTGGCGTTTTGCCTCTCGCCTTCGTTTTTGTCGCAAAGCCTCTTCTATTTCTGCGTATTTGTTGGCCCGCTGGATGGCCTGTGTATACGTTTCTGGGGTTTCCCTCCGTAGGCTGGTGAACAGATCACCTGATCTCAGGGCCTCCACGAACAAAGTGAGAGTCGTTCGGTCGTTCAAGTCTTCTACTCTTTGTACCTCTTTCTACCATCTTTTTAAGAATTCCTTTAGTGTCTGAGTTTCTCCTTGTTGAATGGTGGTCAAATCCATGAAGTGCTTCTTTGTTTTTATGCTTCTCGCAAAGTAGGTTACGAATTTTTCGGCCAGGGTTTCGAAGCGGTCGATAGACCGCGGTGCTAGAGATAGGAACCATCACTGCGCTGCCCCTCCCAGGGTTGACAAGAAGGCACGACAGTACATGGGGTCTTCTGCCCTTATTACCATCATCTTTGCCTGGAACCTTACCAGGTGATCGCTGGGGTCCTCCATTCCATCGTAAGTAGGCATCGTCGGGCATTTGAAGTCTCTGGGTGCACGATATTCTTGGATCCTCATAGTGAATGGACTGGCAGATAACAGAGATGGAGCGGTTGGCCGGTCTCTTCCACCTTCAACCTTCCTTTGGAGGTCTCTTACTTCCATGGCAAGTTTCGCCATCTCTTGATCTCGGTTCCCCAGGCTAAGTTCTGGAGTCTTTCCGCTGCCCTCCATCATGTCTTGCAGAATTCTTTCCCTGTCGCGATCTCTTACCCTCGTCCTTTCTGTGCGAGGACCAGTGGCCTGGGTGGCCTCAACTCGTCGTTGGGGGTTGTGTCTGGCTCTTTGCTGCGGGCTTTCTATCGCGGTGTCTCCCAGGTCAGGCTGTGGGACGGTTGTCTGCTGATTTGGGGGCCCTATATGGTCGAGAACGGAGACTGCGCGATGGTGTCCCTGGGGTGGAGCCGATCTCTGTACTCTTTTAGGTGGTTGATTTTCGCTGACTACCTGGGTGGTGTCATTTATCCGTGATGGTTCTGGGGATTCTGCCCTCGTGTTCTGGCCGTGATGTAGGGCCACTAGGAAGCGTGCAGCGGCCTCCACTATCTCGGGTGGGAGCTCCACTAGTTGGGTCCGTGGGACGCCGACGGCCGGTGGGCGTGCGTTCTAGTGGACCTCCTCCTCTTCTCGGGGATCTCCCAGTTCGGCCTCCCTCTCAAGGGGAATCTGCCGACCGGATGGTACATGCGAGGGGGGTCGACTGAGGGTTTCTCTCGAATTTCTGACGGGTCCAGTGACCGGTCGGCCAGTTCCCTTATTTTGTCGTGTGGTTACCATGCTTTCAGGGGTTTGAGGAACGAATGAAAACTTTTCGTATCGATCCCCACAGACGGCGCCAATGTTGGTTTTATGACTTTTTGGGCAGTCAACGGCAGGCCAACACTACCGTTTAGAATAACGAGAAAATAGGAAAATATAGGAAAAATATATGGCAAAAATATAGGAATATTGTATTGAAGAGTATTGCTAATGAATACTGAAAGTTCTGCCCTTCTCCTCTATGTGATGGGTCTATTTATACACATTTTGGGCCTAGAGCCCTGTAAGGAATAAGAATTCTAGACTGCCTCATATTGGGAGTCTTAGTTACATTGGGAATAATAAAATCAAATTCTATTATATAAGAAATAATGAGTCCAATTCTAATTATATTGGATTAATAAGCTCAATCCTTAGCGAACTCTTGAGTTGTTCCGTACTGAGTATCCTTCTTGGGCTTCCTTGATCCAGTTGCTTTCTTGGGCCGTCCATGTGGCCCAGACCTAGTGTATAATCCATCAGAACCTAAGACATTTCTTATTGAAATTAATGAGTACGTTAATGGTGAACTAACAGAAATTTACGGAAAAGATAACATTTAATGGAAAATTTAATGGATAATCATATTTATTCAGGATAAATTAGAAAATCTCAAAGAAAAATTAAAATCTGATCAATCTGAGCTATTCATTTGATTTAAAAATTTGACTGCCATTTTTTCTACCCATTATAGGCCTAACTCTCTTGAGCTCTTATTAGTATAGTAGATATATTAAAGCTATAAGATTTCAACCAATCACATGGCTTCAATTTCCCTTCCAGTCAAAACTATGTCGTTTTGTCAATGTGAATATTGCAGTTGAATTATTCAAATTTATTTGCTACTAGAATCTAAGAAATAAATGTGTTTGTATTTGAATGGAATACTAAAGCTATAATTAGCAACCTTTTTGGTTTTTCCAACTTGTGGGAAGTTGTTCCGAATAATTAGCATTGTAGAGGTTCAACACATTAATTATTCATATACATACATTTTTTGAATACACATGGGTCTGGTCTTATGATAAAACGAAAATTAAAGAAATTAAAGAAATAAATTAAGATCGATTCAAATCAATTCAAAACTATCAGCACCTTTTCTACTTTGGCGTTTCAGTTTTCGGTGCACAGCCATTATTGCTCTTCAGTAATGGCATAGTTTTTTTTGGAACTCTACAATCTTCAATCCACCTACATTTCGAACTCTTCAGCCTTCAAATGTGTTCTATAAATTCAACATACTAACAATCCACACATCTTCATTTAACCCCTGCGTGTTTCCAGACTTTCCTTGCAATCAACCCTTAAAATGGCTCCCTCTACTTCTTAGGAAAAGACCTCTGTTCAAGTACATATAAAAACATATAGTGCACCTGAACGCCAAAACACAGATTTGATAAAGAGTAAAAGAATGTGTCTTCACGACATGGAGGTAATTTTATTATACTGTACCTACAAATAATTAACTGTTTTTTGAAAATAATTTTTTCTTTCTTTATAGGGCACCTATGTTCATGCAAACATTCCTAAAAGACCTTGGTATTTTAGCATTTTTGAATTAAAGGCCAAGTATCTCAAGGTAATTTTTTTTTACTGTGTTCTTTTGTTTCTTTTATGGTTTCAATATTTCTACTTTTACTAAGTACTTTTTTTTTTCTTTTTTTTTTATAGGGAAATGATTGTCCTACATTCAAGTTT